TTATGGTCTATTTGACTCTAAATGGACCATCATTTACTAAATGAACAGTATGCTGTATTGAAGAAGACTTGAAACTAGAGATTGAGACCATAAACTCATGTTTACAATGTTTACTGAGGTAATAAATCAAGAGAGAAGTAGAGTCATTTTCTCATAGACTTCTATACAACCAGAGGAGTCGCCCCCTGATGGCCATTAGAGAGAATGCAGGTTCAATGCACTTCCGCATTGACTTCACATGACAGGTTAACCTACAGCAAAGCCTCATGGGTATAGAAAGAGCATGCAAGCAATCTACATATAGACTGATAGCGGCGCCTAGCGTTTACAATAGGAATATCATTTTTAATATGTCAGTGGGTCAAATATATTTCTAATCTTAAAAAATAAATAATAAATAACGCTAAGGCAAGATTGAACACTTCTAGGTTAATATTTAACTCGTAACAGTGCAAGCTCCTACCTTGATCAACAGCAGATCATAAATATGTCATTGAAAGACAGCATTGTATCCATTTAGTATTCATTTTAACATTACGTTTCTACAGACCGCAATAAAGCTGATCTCACCTGAAATTTCAAATAAGGAAAGGAAGTTTAATATAATTCCTTCATGTTGGGGGCTCAGGATGTCAAGACTGACCACCGTAATCATGATGGAATGTGCAGAACTTTGGGTAGTGCGCTGTATTTTGACCATTGCTTTGGTTCATACGTACCACGGCCTCTTCCTGTTCTTGGTCCGACATGGTGCCGATGCACAGGCTTAACACGGTGACCACCACCATGATGACGGACAGGAAGGCCAACACTTTGCCCGCTAAACCCGAATGAGGGTTCTCCATCGCTTCTCCGAGCATGTGGAAGAGGCTGCCGTCCACCAGCGGGGTCCTCGGCGCCATCCTCCTCCCCCGCCACTCGTCCACCTTGCGCTGGTGCGCCGTCACCTCCTCCAAGGTGCAGATGACCCTGTGGCGGCAGCAGGGCTCCATCTGCTCCAGGTCGATGCCCCAGTACAGCAACTCGCAGTGCAGGGCCACGTTACACACCTCCCGCAGCAAACGTAACTTCCCTTTCGCCAGGAAGTTGAGGATGGCCCGGAAGGCTAACGGGTCGCGGTCGAAGAAGAACTCGTTCCGCATCTCGTCGTAGTCGTCGCAGAACTCCGCTATCTCCCTCAGGGTGGTGCAGAGGCGCAGGCGGCTCAGGCGGCTCTTGGGGAAATCCTCCAGGGTGGTCCAGGGGAAGGCGTACCGAATGCCCCCCACGTTGACGAGGGCCTGCTGGGAAGGGTCGAGGCGCCGGCGTAACGCCGCCGGCCCATAGAGCAGCCGAGCACGCTGGAAGTACAAGCCTTTGACCGCAGAGTTCTCTGTGTCCGTGTAAACGTGCTCGTAACTTTCGTCGCTACTGAAGGAGTGCTCATCAAATCCAGCACCGATCATGGCCATGGTGGCGGTTCGGTATTTGGCAGAAGAACTGGACTGTAGTTTCAGTATTGCGTCTGATTGGAGATTTGAAGAAAATAACCTGAAATTATGGAATAAATTGGCAAATCATACAAGGTTTTAGATGAGTATCTGATGGTATATTTATCTTTTCTTGAGCTTTATGAAGCGTTTTACCATTTTTCCATCCCAGCAAACCCAAGTTCCAGCAGCAGAAAGCAGCTTTTCAACCAACGCGCTCTGATAAACCCACTGCACACTACTTAGCAGCAAACAGCAGACAAAGTTCACAGTTGGTGAACATAGTGGATCATTTAGCGGCTAATGAGCTACAAGGAGTGTGGATACTGGACTCACATTCATTGGGTGGACAGAAACACAACCCCAAATACTAATGTGCCTCGGTATTTGCTAAAATGACTCATTAACACATAGCCATAACAACTTTATAAGCTAATGTTTTAAATGTTATGACTTCAGAATGTCCCACTGCCCCCTAGTGGCCAAAAATAATAAAATGCAACTTTAACGTTTTTAATTTTATAAATAGTTTTCTGATTCAGAGTGGTTTTAGCTGGTTACTTAAAGGGGATACTTCATGAAAACTCACTTTTTCAGAGCACGTATACACATCTGGCTATCTGGAGTGCCTACCAACCCACAAACTGTGAAATAAGACAATCCACTCAGTTTTTTTCTTGCGCTTCCAGAAAACAGGTGGTTCAACAAGCCAATCAGATTAGGCTCCCCTTCCTATGTCACATGCAGGCTCAATAGAATTACCCCCCCATCTGAGTATCTCCACTTGAGAAGTACCTTTGCAAAGGTGCACCATATATTTCCCAAAAGGCAATCAGAGCAGAATGGGCTTTTTAGTAAAGTGGTCTTAAAGAGACAGGCGCTAAAACGGAGCGTTTCATACAGAGGGTGAATACTAGTATACTCAGACAGACAGTATGAGAAAAATAATGTGTTCTTTTAAACATTAAAGCATGTAAACATGTTCTAGTAGAAACCCAACATACAAGTAGTAATCTGAAAATCAGCACTATACGTCCCCTTTAAAGTCCCAGTGAATTATTTGTACCTCAAAAGCGAGTGCACTTTCACCATTTAAGGATCCTCATACTCCTTGATCACTAACAAGTGATCTAAAATTTCGTTTTCCCCGTGATAATAACTCTGTTTTTGTAATTCTTTTATACTATATAATATATATATATATATTTATATAATACATATTTGGAGGCTTAAGACCTATATTTTAGTCTCCCTACGGTATCGTTCATTGACTGTAACTCACCTTACATTGGTGTTAGGCTACACAAATCCATTCAAAATGGCCTTCAGAATATTCCAAATCCTCCTGTTGTCTCCGACTCATTCATACAATGTATTGACAAACAACGTTATGTGAAGTAACAGCATTCAAATGTGTCATCATACATCAACCAAACTCTAAAGTTGAAGTGAAAGGGAAACTCTCCCATCTGTCCATTCATCCTTTCCTCCCTTCCTCGTCAGCTTTAGGTGACTAATGGATGACCCTGGTCATTCTGAACACAATCGGGACACTTTGCGTTCAGTTGTGGTCTAAAACATCATCCATTAACTTATTCACCCTCTAAGCTTTTAGCTTTAATGCAGTTTAAAAAAAAACGGTAAAAGAATGTCCACAGGGGAGGAAGGATTAATGAGATTAATATCAAGAGGCAAATACAAACACACACGTAACAGAGGACGCATCACAGAAAATACACCAGCAGCAGACAGATTGTGCGTTTGGTGATGAAAATGTACTGTCATCAAGTCGTGCTGTACTTGTTGTTAGTGGATGTGAGAACAGATTATTGTATACATATATGGGGTATCATCCCATACATTTTAATACTATTTACACTACCGTTCTATCTCCTACAGTGTTCCTCTGATGGGAAAAGAAGATCGAAGTAAGTATTCATGACACATCTGCGGGTTCACACCATTAGAGTCCCATGGATCCTGAGCACTGAGGGAAGAAGAGGAAACAACGTGTGACATTTGCACACTCGCTCCACTGCGCCCTTGTTATTTCTACGGTTGTAGCTCATTTTTGCCCACATCCGGTGAAGGGACCACGAGCTGATAGATATTTATGGCTGTGCCATAAACCTTGTCATGGTAGAGTAAAGCCACGTTCGACTCGCTGATTTATCGTCATTGCAGGATTCGTGCACCTTTGCCAACTTCCCTTCTCATTGGAGGTTGGAAAAGACAAAGAAAAGAGTCACCAGTGTGTTTGCTTTCCTAAATGACGGTCTGTTCTCTTCGGGAGGTCACGTGGTGGAGAGGAGGTCAGGCTCCAGCTGTTTGGAGACACCTGGAAGCTGCTCGGACTCCTCCCGGATCCATTTTCTTAATATATGCTCACGTTCTACATTCCACATCCTTTTTTCATGTGAATTATTTATTGTAATCGTATTAATCTGTGCACACTACATCTATTGCACATCTGTCCGTCCTGGTTTAGGGTTGCTCTTCCAGAGGTTTCTTCCTTTTTTACCCTCCTAAAGTTTTTGTTCTTTTTTTAAAAAACGTTTTTGAGGCCCGGCTCAGGAGCTCCTTACAGGGGAGAACATTTTCCAAAGACCCTTCTGAATCGTAACGCTGATTAATGCTTAGGCCCAATCCCAATGTGCCCCTAAATCCTTTGGCGGTCCATCCAAACCCATGAGGGTTGAGGGCTGTCTCACTGTCAAATAACTGAGTGTTTGAGCTCTTTATGAACACTTTCCGTACGTTTGCATTTCTGCAGTATTTAAGGGAATTACCCACAATTTCCCTCTGAAAAAAACTTTTGACTCAAAATGAAACAAACATTTTGAACCTGGCAACGTTCGGATTCCTGTTCTGAAAAATGTATGCAAATTAGCACAAATGTAATCAAATAATAGCTAATTTGCATATTGAAACATTTTAGAAAACGTGTCTTCATGTAAGTAATCAACTGTGAAGTTTCACGAGAATATCTAATTTAAACGTATCCCCCTTCCACCTGGGGCGTCTCCTCTTAATGTATTATATGTTCATACACAATAAACTTTATATTTTAAAAAGTGGATTTTGTTTTTTTCTGGTCAATTTGTACTCCTAAATAATCAACTCGTGATGAGTATGCAAAGCCAAAATGTCTGTAGGATTATTTACTGAGTGAAGGATTGTTTTAATCAGTGACAGTGGAAGACACCAGAGACTGCAACATGCGCACACTTCACACACAACACTGTAGGAAACAGTTACCATTCTGGCAGCCAGCACACTTACTTTACCCTATTTTACAGATTGTCGGGAGCGCTTACAAAATGATATAGTTGGACGTGAATATCCATCACATATTTACAAAAGCTGTGGGGGAGCTAGTCGTATTTATCACCATTGATGACAACGCTTTTCTTTCCCATTAGTAGCGGTTGATTCCAGAGAAAGCCAGTGATCTTCACCACCGTGGAAATGATCAGGAATGAGGCAGTGAAAGGGCCGCTGAGGGAATGATTCACTCCTCACTCTGTGGGGATGCACAGTAGAACTCTGCAACGCTCCAGTATATCCAGTATATACATATTAGTCCGACTATACTACAGCTGACCTTGGCTGACCCCCCCCAGCAGCAGAGTTTTGGACCTTGAGTTGAGAGAGAAAGTCAAAGACCCTGTAGCTCTGCAGAGATGCAGCGTGGAGACAGCAGTAAGACGAAGCAGTTTGTTATCTACCCTGTAGCATTGTGGGGGATTTTTGTTTAATGACCTGCTGGCCTGCTCTGCTCACCTTTATGTGCCAATAACTCCACACTGGCAAGCAGATGGAGGGCTGATGTGGGCTGTCAGGTGCTGGATGACACAACCTCAGTGTTATCTAAGACAAGTCATTGATTTTGCACACGTTGCCAAGCAACTTCTCGCCCTGAGAGGCGAATAATAGTTCACGCTTATCTCAACTTCTTGCAGGAAAAGATCTAATGCTGCCACTATCTGTTGTAAACTAGTCTGGGTAGTAGAGATACATCCGTTAAAAAGATGTTGGACTGCAGCATCTTCCACTGACAGACTATTCTGTAACATCCTAGGGATCTGGATCCTCTGCATCATCTGCATCCTCTGCATCCACTCGTGTTTTCTTTAACCCTCAAATGTTTGCTTCTCAGAACTCTTCCATACCGCCCTGAGCTCTGGAAAAAAACTCCACACTGTAAGTCATGAATCACTAAAGAGGGATATTTATTCAAATTTGACTATTTTTAGTTATTTTTGGGTGACTGTGGCTCGTCCTATAATCACAAGGTTGACGGTTCGATCCCCGTGTTCCTCTTGTCCGCATGTCAAAGTGTCCTTGAACCCCGAGTTGTTATCGCAAATCATATCACATTTGCTTTGTTAGTCAAAAATCGCAATTAGACATTTTTTCAAAAATGTTCAGCCGTAATGTATGTAACAATTCAATTCAAGTTCAATTGTTTTTTACTTTAGGTACATTTTTTTATCTTATTTTTTTTAATTTTATGTTTTTAAAGTGTTTTTTAAGTAAAGGTAAAAAAAAAATGTTAAAGCTAGGTTTTTAAGTTTAAGTTAAGTTTTTAAATTTTTTTTAAGTTTAAGTTTTTAACGTTTTCTTAAAGGATTTTTGTTTCCGTTTTTTAAAAAGTTTTTAAAAGTTTATGTTTTTTGAAGTTAAAGTTTTCGAAGTTGAAGTTCTGCTGACGCTGATGCTGATGGTGATTGGGACTAAATATGCTAAGTATCATATCATATGCAAGACTTCATAAAGTCAAGTAATACTACATAAAGAATACAACTTTAGCACCGTTGATCTGCTGATGGCGGTTTGAACGAGCACATGAAGAAGGGCAGAATGATGGTGACCATCAGCCCTCAAGTCAGCGGGGAGGACCTGGACTTTGTCCTGGCTGAGACTGGGAGATGGACTTGTCAGAGCAAGAGGAAGGGACATTGTCTACTTGGCAGCAATGTGAACCCGCTTAAAGTTTGAGGTTAGAAATAAACAGTATTTAGCATTTAGAAAGTGTCAAATCCTAACTTGCATATGTTGGCCAATTTGCATAATTGGGTTTATGTAGATTGCAGGATTGGGATCAGATCTGTAGGTTCATTGAGCCCATATGGTTCCACAGGAAACAACCAGGCCTTAATATAGCACCATTTGCATTATCTGCTCAGTGACATTGCCTCAGAGAGAAAATAATTCTGTAAAAACCAGGGGA